CGGCGTCTTTATGAGCTGCTCACAGCATTAAACCAGATCTGCAGGACCAAAGAATGGCAATCGAATGCTTTATTTCTGCTTCACACAGTGTGAGAACAACAGCCACGACCCCACGAGTCGCCATAAACATCGATCTTCACGAGAACAAACAGAGCAAGCACTTATTGTGTGAGAGAGATGAAAACAGAGGTTAGACGTGGTCATGCAGCCTCAATGATTTCAGTGATTTAGAATCAGATATTATCTTTCATAAAATAGGGAAGACGTGTGTGTAATTTTTGGTCAAGTGATATAATCATCAGAACAGGCATTAAAGTATAAGAACAATAAGAAATAATTTACCAAAACCAAACAGAGCAAAAAATAATATTAAAAACCAATTAACATGTCCGTTAGCTTTTACATACAGCTGCCCCTTCTGCAAATAAACAAGCCTGTCTAGATCTATTTCACATACGGCTGTTATATTTACTTGTACATATTCACAATATTTCTCACATTAACATGAAACTCTGTATATCAATAAAATATCCTTAACTGCGCCTCCGACAGCTTCAAGCATGATTGGTTTCTTAAAAGGAAGTGTATTTTTGGAGCGTTTCGAGCTTTATTCCGTCTGGATGTGAAACACGCGATGACGTACCAGATCTAGCCTAGTTTCCACACTACTGTCATGATTATGAGATGAAAATCAAAATGACTATAAACATCATAATTATGACATACTCGGTCCTGATTATGAGATTTAAAAAAAAAAATCTAAATTAGGATATAAAAAAAATCTAAATTATGACATAGCCATAAAAAACGATTAAAGATAAAAAAAGCATGTGATTAGTGATAAAAGAAAATTATGATACAGTCAAGTTTTTGCCTTTTTTATCTAATAATTTCAAATTTTTGTCAATTTCAACTATTATAATTTTGACTTTTTGCCATATTTTTGACTTGATTTGTCATAATTTAAACTTACTGTCATAATTTTGACTTTTTATCTCATAAATTTTATTTTATGACATCATAATTTCAATTTATCTCATAATACACTTGTGTCATAATTTCGACATTTTATCTCATAATTATGACATAATTATTTTGACTTTTCCTCATAATTATGACTTAGTCATAATTTCAAATTAGTATTTGTTAGTACGTTTTATCTCATAATTAGGACGTACTACAGTTTTGACTTTTTACCTCAATTATGACAAGTCATAATTTCTCATAATTTATTTACGAATAATTTCAGTTTAGTATGTCATCATTTAGAAATGTTATCTCATAATTATTACTTATAATTTTAACTTATCTCATACAGTAATTCACTTGTCATAATTTTGACTTTTTATCTCATAATTAGGACGTACTACAATTTTGACTTTTTACCTCCATTATGACAAGTCATAATTTCATTTTTTTAACACGCGATGACGTACCAGATCTAGCCTAGTTTCCACACTACTGTCATGATTATGAGATGAAAATCAAAATGACTATAAACGTCATAATTATGACATACTCGGTCCTGATTATGAGATTTAAAAAAAATCAAAATTAGGTTATAAAAAAAATCTAAATTATGACATAGCCATAAAAAACGATTAAAGATAAAAAAAGCATGTGATTAGTGATAAAAGAAAATTATGATACAGTCAAGTTTTTGCCTTTTTTATCTAATAATTTCAAATTTTTGTCAATTTCAACTATTATAATTTTGACTTTTTGCCATATTTTTGACTTGATTTGTCATAATTTAAACTTACTGTCATAATTTTGACTTTTTATCTCATAAATATATATCTTATGACATCATAATTTCAATTTATCTCATAATTATGACATCATTATTTTGACTTTTCCTCATAATTATGACTTAGTCATAATTTCAAATTAGTATTTGTTAGTACGTTTTATCTCATAATTAGGACGTACTACAGTTTTGACTTTTTACCTCAATTAGGACAAGTCATAATTTTGATTTTTTTTAATCTCATAATTTATTTACGAATAATTTCAATTTAGTATGTCATAATTTAGAAATGTTATCTCATATTACTTATAATTCCAATCTATCTCATACAGTAATTCACTTGTGTCATAATTTCAACATTTTATCTCATAATTATGACTTGTCATAATTTTGACTTTCATCCCATAATTATGACATCACTATTTAATATTAATTTTATCTCATAATTATTACTTATAATTTCAATTTATCTCATACAGTAATTCACTTGTGCCATCATTTTGACATTTATCTCATAATTATGGCATCATTATTTTGACATTTATCTCATAATTATGGCATCATTATTTTGACATTTATCTCATAATTATGGCATCATTATTTTGACATTTATCTCATAATTATGGCATCATTATTTTGACATTTATCTCATAATTATGGCATCATAATTTCTACTTTTTATCTCATAATTATGACATCATAATTTCTACATCATAATCAAGGTCTTTCTTGGTGAACAGAAGAGCTTTCTTTCAGAAAAATTAAGACACCTTACAGACTCCAGACTTTTGTGTAAATATATTTCATTGCTAATATATAAAATAGTATGCAGTATAGTTCAGTATAGTATTGCATTCTGAACGTCGCCTGTCTTTCACACACTCTCATAATGAATACTCAATTATTACTTATAATTTCAATTTATCTCATACAGTAATTCACTTGTGCCATCATTTTGACATTTATCTCATAATTATGGCATCATTATTTTGACTTTTATCTCATAATTATGGCATCATTATTTTGACTTTTATCTCATAATTATGACTTAGTCATAATTTCTACTTTTTATCTCATAATTATGACATCATAATTTCTACATCATAATCAAGGTCTTTCTTGGTGAACAGAAGAGCTTTCTTTCAGAAACATTAAGACACCTTACAGACTCCAGACTTTTGTGTAAATATATTTCATTGCTAATATATAAAATAGTATGCAGTATAGTTCAGTATATTATTGCATTCTGAACGTCGCCTGTCTTTCACACACTCTCATAATGAATACTCATAGACAGAAGAAACATGGACGACCAATCAAAACAAATGCATTCACAAATATTTACATGAGCTTCTCTAAAATAGCACAACTGCATTCTGAACAGTAGTGAACTAATTGCACGGCGGGAGCTTGATTTGCGTTTTCTCCCTTTACGTTTCCAAACAATGTGATTTGTTCTGAATAAGAGCTGTGCTTGGATTGATCGTTTGAGAAACGCTGCTGAAAGATGAACAGAAACAGCTAATCAGACGTGGAGGAGGAGTAACATGAACACAGTGTGACAGCGGACGGATGTTTGTCCGGTTCTTCGTATCAAAATCAAAGCAAGTAGAAAAACGCCACCACACTAAAACTGGTCAAATGTACCAACAATTACATTTAAAAAATATACACCTTCTGATATACCTTTAAAAAAAAAAAACAGGTAGTGTAATGGTCTGGGTGTCTGTCCCTTATTTATTTAGGCTATCCATCTAATAGTAGCCTACCAAAATCTTATTAACAGTAGAAGTTAAATCTTACTGTAGTCTTCAAATCTGGGTACGGTCTTACGTTTTGAAATCACGAAGAGAGTTTGGTCGCATCAGGCTAACGTGACCGTCACGACTCATGCATCTGTAAGCTTTTCTTTTTCTTTAGTTTTTACTCGCGATCTTTACAACACGCATTACATTACTGTATTTCATGGCACACTCGTTTTATGCGTATTTGGCGCCACCTGTTGTTGTGGGTGTATTATTGACATGTCAAAGTCTAGACCCTGAATATAAGACCACCGCGTTTTTTCAGACGCATTTCCAAGAAAAAAGCATCGTCCTATATTCGGGTCAATACGGTACATGCTGCTTCTGCACTGTTTTTACTGATCGTATCATCTGATTAAAAAATAATTACTAGGGTTTTTTCAACATGATTCAAACAGTTTCTCTCAGGTTACACAAACATACCAAACAGTTATCAAGCTTTTCTGCTGTACATGTAATGATTTTTTGATCAAATAAATGCAGCTTTGATGAGCAGAAGACACTTCTTTAAAAAACATTACAAGTCTTACTGATCCCACACTTTTGAGCGGCAGTGTATATATTATTATTATTGTTAAGAAAAAGAAATCACAAAAACAATTAAAAGCGATACAAAAAACAAGTATGATGAAAGCTACAATAAGAGTAAAAAAAATAAACAAGGAAATAAAAAAACTGTACTGTAAAAATAGTATTTATACAAAAGTTTAATTTCTTTAAAAATGTGAACTTACACAATTATAAATTCAGGATGCACAACATATCAGCATTGGCTGATATCAGTGTTTTTTTATTATTATATCATCTGATTAAAATTATTATTTTTTCTAATTCACACAATTTCTCTCAGGTCACAGACATACCAAATACTTACCAATATTTTCTGCTAATAATATATAAATATATATTAAAAATAACAAAACAAATAAATAAATGTGAAAAAAAGTTAAGGATCCTTATTTTATTGTTATTATTTGTAAGGTAAAATATACAAACATTCAGAAAAAAATCTTAAAAGCCATTAAAAGCAATAAAAAAGACAAAGTATGATTAAAAGCTGCAGCAAAAGTGTAATATAGTTTAAAATAAATAAATAAAAAGGGAATAAAATAAAAAATAAAAATATACTGTAAGAATACAATTTATACAAAACCATGTACATTTAAAATATACATGAATTGACACATTTATATATATATATAAAATAACAAATAAATAAAGTTATTATTGTTATTTAAAGGGCATGATATAAAAACATTAAGAAAAATAAATCAAAGACTATTACAATAAAAAAGGAAATAAAACAAACCAAAAATATGTATATTATATGAAACTGTATATTTAAAATATTAACATAACACAAATATAAGTACTGAATAGCACTGCATCGTGTGATATACAATTAAAAGTAAATAATATTAAACCTAATTTATGAGTGAATTGCATCAGGAGTTTCTGTGTGTGAGCGCCACCTGCTGCGAGTCTGTATGTACTGATGGCTGTAAGCTGGTTGTGGTTCTGAGACTCACGCTGTCCTGTAGCGTGTGCGTCAGGCTCTCAGAGGTCGAAAGGTCAGCGGGGGGGTGAGACAGGTGCGGCCCCTGAACGAACTCACTCACTGATGATGATGATGCTGCAGCGTTGCCATGGGGATAGTCACCAAACTTACTGTGGCCCTGGAAACGGTTGCCTGGGAAACAGAGGTCACATAAGAACCTGTACATCTGTATTTCCGTACAGTGTCCATGATGATCTGAAGTGGGTGTTTCTGGGTAATATGACCGTACCTGGACTGTTGTACTGGTTAGTGCTGCTGTTCTGCTGCTGGAGGTTCTGGTTGGGGTACGGAGACGCTCCCGGGCCGAGCTGAGAGATCATGTCCATCACATTGGGCAGCACCATCTGACTGGGACTCGTGGTTTTGAAGCGCTTGGACATCAACCCGTCCGGATCTTCCTTTATGTGCGGCTCAGATTTGATCTGCACCGGCCTCCAGCTGCACGACGGGTCTATCGTGACCTCCTCACACTCTGAGCTGCAATGACAACACGTAGATCTGTGATCGGTCCGGTGCAAAACACCTAAACCAGCTGCCCTGGCTCGTTTCTGACTTCCAAAACCTCCAAAGTGAGCGCTAAATGTTGCGCTCTTTTAATCCGACTTACTTCTGGAGAGCGTTCAAAATCCCCCACATGTACTGATCCACCTCCAGACCTTCTAACAGAGCCGCTTTACTGAAGAAGACAAACAGAAGATCAGTTCTGCATCACTCAATCATCTCAGTCGTGATCTGAGGAGTGACTGGAGGATCTTACTTGCACACCGGACATCTCCATGAGCCCCGCTCACAGTTCAGCTCTAGATAAGACTCCAGATCAAAGCACTGCAAGAGAACATTACCTCAACATTAACACAACATTATCACACTCATATGTACATTTAAAGATGTTTTGATGCCAAATATGATTTTTGACCCCCAAATATGATGATGCCATTCCCTTTTCAATACTTTGTTACTTTAAAATTAATACTTTTAATCAGATAAGATGCATTAAATTGATCAAATGCGGCAGTAAAGACATTTATAACGTTGCAAAAGATTTCCATTTCAAATAAATGCTGTTCTTTTGAGCTTTCTATTCATCTGTGAATCCTGAAAAAATAAAATATATCACAGTTTCCACAAAAATATTGTGCAGCACGACTGTTTTCAGCACTGATAATAATCAGAAATGTTTCTTGAGCAGCAGATCAGCATATTATACTGATTTCTGAAGATCATGTGACACTGAAGACTGGAGGAATGATGCTGGAAATACAGCTGCACATCACAGAAATACATTACAGTTTACTATATATTCACATAGAAAATAGTTACTTGAAAGTGTAATAATATTTCACAATATTATTGTTTTTACTGTGTTTTTGATCAAATAAATGCCTAGTGGTGAGGAAAGACTCATTTATACCGAGTGAGAAAAAATGTAAATTATAAAGACATTTTTGCTAATTAAAAAACAAAAGTTTTATACTTTACTGAAGGCAAAGCAAATTATTTCAAATATATATTTTTATATAATATGTAAAATCCAGACTTTGCATTAAGTATTGTATTGGTGTCTTTTTCTACCCTCTTTAAGACTAATTCTAGAAATATTTTAAATTCAATTAACCTTTATTTGTAGTGATTTTCACTACAAATATCATTCCCAAGCAGATTTACCAAAAAAATACATTTTGTAAAAAAAAATTGTGGCTTCTGCATTTGATGCCAAAGCAAGCATTTAAGCCGTTTAAAAGATTTCCGGACCTGCATGTGTTTGCAGTCATGGCCTCGCGCCGGCAGCTGGATGCGCCTGAACGTGATTGGACACTTTAGAGAGATTCTGATGGACGTTTGCTCCACTCCATCATCACCGACAGACACAGCCACACTACTGAAGCTCCTCTTCACTGAGAGACAGAGAATGAAGGCTCATGAATGCAAAACGAATCCCAGAGACTGACCAACAGAAGACAGACAGACAGACTGAAGCGATACCTTTAGTGATGCAGTGTTCGGCGGTGAGGAGTCTCTTCCTCAGTAAGCCCTGCAGCACCGATCGAACCGACGGCCGGTGAACCAGCAGAAGGACAAACAGGTGCGACTGCAGAGAAAACACATCGCAAGCGCTCACGCAACACTCACCAGACGAGCACAAGAGGACGAGTGTGTGTGTGTGTGTAACTCACACAGCAGCAGGCCGTCACGGTGATCTGGATGGTGTTTCGGCCCGGCTGACACACGTGTTTCAGGTGCAGGGGTTTGTGGGAAGTCTTGTTGTCGCCGCGCTCGATGCTGAGCGGTGTGGCGTTGACGCTGACCTGCACAGACGCCGGCCAGTTCGTGTACATCTGTCTGTCTTCATGATGATAACACTTGAACTGAAGCTCCAGATCAGACCTGAGACGCAAACACACGCGGATGTGAACAGGAAGCCTTTGTATTTTTATACGTGTGTGTGTGTGTGTGTGTGTGTGTGTGTGTGTGTGTGCGTGTGTGGGCTGGGAATAAACCACCTGATTCGATACTACAATATTTAGCTGCCAGATTCAATATGCACTGCAATAAAAAATAAATGAATAAATAAATTCAATTAGCATTTTACACATATTGACTCTCGATGTCCAGGATGTTGATTTCTGTTTAACTACTATAATATTTAATCATAAAAAAAATAATTATAACTTACACTGTAATAATTACATCGTAATAATAAAAGCTAAATAAAATATATTTAAACAAAGTATATAAATAAATAAATAAAAAATTTTAATGAAATAATTAAAAAAATGTATAATAAATTTAAACAATGTGTGTAGTCCAGTATTACGGTTACTGTTTAATTGCATCAATCATTTTATCATCATTTTATACGAATTCATTATAATAAATTACTATAAATTTTATTCTTGTGATAAAATAATAAAAACATTTAGAATAAATTAAAACAATGGTGTACGGTTCAGTATTAACGTTACTTTTTTATTGTATCAATTATTTTATTTTATTGTATAAATTATTTATCATTTTATTATTATATTTTATTTTATTATAATAAAATAATTGTAAAAGTTATAATAAATTAAAACAGTGGTGTGGAATCCAGTATTAGTTACTTCTGCATCATATCAATCACTTTATCATAATTTTATTAAAATGTAAAAATAGATTTTTCATCATGGTAAAGACTTGAAATTTGTAACAGTAATATAATTTAATTAAAAAAAATGTGAAATTAGCAGCACCTTCACACACATTCGTCTGTGTGTGTGTGTGTGTGTGAGTGTCTGTGTGTGTGTGTGTGAGTGTCTGTGTG